AAAGCTTACTACATGACTACACTGCGAAGAACTGTGGAAGTTACAAAGAAGCTATATACCACGCTTCCACCCTTCAAGAATTGACTAATTTACTCAGGGATATGAGAGTTAAATCTGCTAAGCCACAAAAGAAATGTAGTTTAAGCTATTAAATTATGTCAGGTATTCCATAGGTAGACTAAAAATGAAAGAGATGCAGGATGGAGTGATTGGAAGGAGGTGGGGCAGAAACTGGGCAGTATGAAGGTGATTGACTAGCAAAGTTTCTTAGAGATCTAATTAACACATGTTGTGTTAGACAGCTGAAGATTACCTGTTCTATAATGGTATGAATTGATATCATAAATGGTTCTGATGCCATTATGATGTATCATGTGTGAATAATTCATGCATAGACTAATGGAGCCATACAATGGAACTGCAGGGGTGTTACAAATTAGAATTTATGTGCATTGACATAGCAGTGGGTAGAAGCTGGTGGAGTGTTTGCCCCCTCAGTACTTACTGTTCTTCACTCTTCGAGGACTGGTATTTGAGTGTGTGTGTGTGCGTGAGGGGGGGTATTATTGAATGTTGAATTATAAGGGAAACAAAATCCATCTATGCACTAAATTCACAAGAATCATTCTCAAAATAATTTATAGAAATAGTCTTACAATGTATGTTCAAAGAAAATTGGAGGGCAAAAATCACTCCGAGTTTTACAGTGTTTTTTAACTTCTTTTCAGTCGGAATTTTTGTGGAGAACATAATTTGGTTAAGTTCTCTTGAAATGCTAAGTATTCTTAGAAAATTTCCTGTATAAGTCCCCTGTTCCTTTCAGATTGCCTTAGTTTTCTTTTTTCTCTGTCTGAAATTACCAAGACTAATGTTATTAGTTTGCTAGGTTTATTTACCAAGGAAAGGTACACAATTGAACCCATACCAATAAATCACGACTAGTATTTGTTGAGAGCCATTGCCAAGTAGAAATGACGCATTGAAATTTCCTTGCCAGCGTACCCCATGTTGCTTAGAGGAAGGACTCGTGGAAATGGACTTGCCTTGGACATTTGCAGTGACATTGCATGTATGTTTGAGAAAGGTGACCCTGCTCAAGGACCAGGGTGGATCCGGGTTTAAGGAGGATCCTACTGGATTAGGGAGGATCCAGGTTTAGGGTGTATCCTGCTGGGAATAGAGAGTATCCCCCTCCTTGGGTTTAGGGCGGTTCCAGGTTTAAGGTGTACCCTGCTGGGAATAGGGCATATCCTGCTGCCTCAGGCACACCCACTCCCAGAGTATTTGGGATTCAGAACTTGGATTTTGCAGAGAACGTGGATTTCCCCAGAATGTGATTGTAGAGTGCCACTGTGAGTTCAGGAATAAAGAATTGCTGTTTGAATCTACAAGGCTGTGAGTGGCTCATGATTTTGTGCCCAGCCAGACTGCGGCAAGTATTTACTAAATTTTAGTATTTTATATTTGAGTTTCATTACCACACAGGTGGTAAAACACACTATCCATGCTGTGCTTTGCTTATGGTGTAGCATGTTGCCACCTGTATGCAAGTGGGGTCACTAAACATTAAGGATTCTTGTTACTGAACATTTTGAAGGTAGCTTTCACTTTGTTCAGTCACTACTATGTACCTGGAAGAAGACCCAATTTATACTTCACCATTGTTCACTGAAAGGCTCAACATCTTAGAACTGAAAGGGACTTTACAGGTTCAATAATTCCCAGATGATGATCGAGGGGCTCATGCTAATCCATAACAGGGATTTTTCCATTCTGTACCAAAGTGAGAAAAGTACAACTTATTTCGTCTCATTCCTTGATTCAGTTAGCTAGATTTTTATTTGGTAAAGTTAGAAACTATCTTCATGTTTTTATTTTTTTGCAATGACTGCCTTCAATTTCAATATTATTCATTCCTATATTTTTATTTAAAACAGTTTATTTTATGAAATGATGCCAGATAATGGCTTTGAAGATTATAAAACATTAGTAAGCACTTTTTTTGTTTCCATTAAAAAATTCCTAGCATATAAAACTTATGTCTGAGAACCATTGATCTAATACAATGATCTGAGTGATGCTCAAATTCCCTTCACAATATGCTCACCCACCTACGGCAAAGCATCTCTATAAAGAAGAATTTCCACCACTCTTCAGTGTAAGTCTTTCCATCCTTAAACAGTTTTAACAGAAAACTCTTTTTAAACATTCAGCTAATATTTTATTGAAAATTTTCCTTTTTGATTTTTAGCTCTAAAATCATGGTAAGGAAGTCTATTCCTATTCCAAATGCAGCCTTTCAATTGTGTGAAGAAAAGTCAAATTTTCCCCATGAGTCTTCTATTAACTAAACAATGCTATTTTCATCATTCCTCAGACAACATGATTCCAAGTTGCATGAGTTCTTTTACTCCCTTCTAAACCTGTTTCAGTTATCAATGATACTCAAATTCTTGACACCTGGGACTGAATCAAAGACTAAACAGACACAGTACCTCATGGACAGGGATTATCATGCTGTACTTTTTGAAGACTGTTAATGAAATTGTGAACCTATTACAAAAACCTTCACAGAACACAATCTTGGAAACTGTCTTAATCTTTTCTTCTGTTTTCTACCCAGATATTTTTACTCAGTGACTGAAGAAATTCATTCTTAAAACTAGATCTGCAGTTGAGCAGTTACCTATTGTAATATACACCAGTAAGTTTATGTGATTGTAATGGACATATGTTGTTTTTACCTATCTTTCTCTTTGATTACAGCAATCCACTTTTCTTTGGGTTAAATATGTTTCTGTAAGTCTATGTATGCCTGGTTAGAAAGTCAGTCATGGTGCCAACAGCACTACCATCCTCACACAGATGAGTGCAAGATCAAATGGTTAATCAGAGTTCCATTCCCCTGTTCCTAGTGATTGCATTAGTGATAGGCACATGGTCCAAGGGAGTCCTCTAGTTTTTGATTTTTGTTATGAGAGAGTCCCACATGCAAAATCACAAGGAGGAAAGCATTTGTAGTGGACAAGATGAAGAGAAGAAAACAAAGTTGAGAAACAGAGCAAGTACAACCTGATATTTTAGTTGTGAGGACTATTGCCTTTTCTTATTTTTCAGTCTAGTTCAAGTTGTATTTGTTTTACAAGCAAAGGAATCTTCACAATATTAAAACTGAGGTATGATGTCTCAGCATAGACAACAAAAGTAATTTTTGAACACTGCCCTCCAAGCAGCCAGCAAAAGTAAAAATGAACAAATAAAATTTGTGTAACAAACTGGTATATGAGAGATAAAATTATAGAAGTATTTTGTTTTATTTTTCTGTATCATTCAGAGTTACATTTATCCATCTTTTCTGTCCCTGAGCTCTTACAGTACTCTTAACTTTTCCAGTCACTTTCTTATGAACAAACGATCACAGATTTTAGATCATAGAAAGTACAGTCCAGATTAATCCCAAACACCTGTACTCTCATTCAAATGAAGATTTTTTACCTCTTTGCTACCCCAGCACAGGATAGACGCAGTTCAACTGTAGCTATGTTCCTACTCACATTTGCACTCTTCGTTTTCAGCAAGAAAGTATCTTGCTTGGCTGCTACACTTGCTAAACAGGCATTGGTGACTTTTGGTTTCACTGAGTGTTCAAATAATTGTCTTCTTCCAGGAACCCTGTGTGGAATCTTTCTGGAGATTCTCACACACTTTCACACAGTTCCTGAGATTTCTCAGGTTTTCCTAGTGTACATGGCTGACCACTTATGACTTTATGACTGACTTTAAGAAGTCCACTTCCACAGTTTTTATTTGTTGGGTTCACTTTGTCTTGCTGATATTTCTTTCAGATAGAGTGCAGAACGAGCAAAATCTTCTGAGGTCACATCTTACCAAAGGAACCATCCATTGTCTTCCTCCACTGAACTGCAAAGGTGTTACTTTTTCTTGGAGTAGGTGATACCTACAAGCCACTAAACAGTCCCGGGTCTCCGTCATCCATCATTTTAGAATGGGGAGGTACTTATATTTCTTGGTTCCAGAGTTTCAGCCAAAATTTTATACAGGCAAGGTCCTATTTTAATGTTCTCATGACTATGTCAACTATAGTTTTTAGGATAGATTGTGAATAGGGAGCTTTGGCCATTGCTTCCTATGATACTCCTTATTAATCTATCAGAATCTGTTTATTTATGACCAGTTCTGGAAGTAACCTGTATAAAGTAAATTAGTGATTCAGGAGAGTGTGATTTAAACTTTCTCCGTGAGAACTTAGAAAGAAAGCATTTAGAGTTCTTGACTCTGAATTGCATATTATCAAATGCACGTGGTAGAGCTATCACAAATGGATTCCCAGTAACTTGATGGACAGAGACATACATATCTACTGAACTTCAACTATAAGACATATTTTTTTGGTTGAAAGGGAGAAATGCAGAGTGACAGAGTCAGAAAGTCTGAAAAGATCTAAAAGATTTCTTGAATTAATATAGCCCAATTCAAAAGATGAATTGTTAGCCTGTACTGTACAGGGTATATGTTACTAAATTTTATAATTAATATAATATGGATTGTCTTCTCCTAAGAACTTTATGATTTGATATAAGATATGAGATAATGTAGTAAAATAAATGTAATGGAATCAATTTTATCATTTTCACATAAACTTAGATAATACATGTAAAAATTGCTTGCTTTTTTAAAACAGTGGCTAAAGGGGGTTATCAGCATTGGTTTTAGACTCTAAATTTAGTTATTTGTCTTCTTTTAAAAAATCACCTTCTTTATCTGTTGGGGCAGAGTCTTCTAACCTTTGGACTGAATTGAATGGTCTTTCCTGAAGGTTCCTGCAAGCTACTTGGTGCAAAGTCTTCTTTTATTGATTTTTAAAATGCTTTAATCAATAGTGTCAACCATTCATACCTAATTTAAGTGCTCCCCTTATAACTGCTTTCTACTTTGTTTTTACTTCTTTCAAAATTTACCTCTAATGTATCCATTTTTACCTGTGGTCGTGATTCTGGTTTCCCTCCATGAAAGTTACTCAACAGTATAACTGTAGTGCAATCAATGAGTCAGTTCTGCAACTCAGCAAATGTTACCCTGAAAGGCAGATAGAACATGATATCATTTTATGGTTATTTTCTATGTAATAATCAAGTTCTATTGTCTATTGTGATTATTACTTAATGAATTGTTCAGATAGAAAATAATATGGCATTAGAAAACTTCCAAATTTACATAAAATGCTTTTTGAAAAAAAATGAAGATTATAAAAAGCTTTTTCTTTTTAATTTAAGATCTGGTTTTTTTGGATGTAAGTGCAAACTTAAAATTCCAGGAATTTTATTGGAATGATGCACAAAATCTATAATGAGGTTTACCAGGTCTTACATAATAGAACATAATTCTTTTGTGGTTACAGAAAGCCATTCTTTCTCCTGCCTGAGAATCTTTACTTAGATCAAGTGCAAGGATTCTTGAGATGGACTAGAAGGGAGTCTCCGGTGTGAAGGCTTGGATAGGGTTGGGGTTAGATTATGTCGACATTGAAAGCAATGTGTGAGTGTGTAGCTTTCAGACAATGGGATGTAAATGTCTTCAGAGAATTCTGAGCAATAGTGTGACATGATGAAGTTTTTGGCTGGTGGTTATAGAGGGAGAAAGACCTTAATTGAGACACATTGAGGGCAATCAAGGTAGCATGTAGGCTGTTACAGTGATCTCAGTCACACATGACATATGATTTAGTAGAATGTTTCCACAAATTCTTTTAATTGAATTAATGTATGCTGGGATAATAAAACTCCGCTGATGTATTGTTTAGAGACACCCATGAAGATTTTTGCCTGAATATCTAGTACTAATGTCCAATGATAACCCAGACATGATTTCAAAGAGTTCATTGTTAGTTCTAAGAAATGTTGCTTCCATCCAGCCTCTCCTGGTGTCCTATATACAGCCTTCAAATTTCATGTGTAGAGTAGTCTAGGCAATGAGAAAGTTGGGATTTAGAAAATCTCAGAGTTTAAAACATTGTAGCTATTGTTATTTCACCTAAAAGTCGGGAAGTTTCACAGCACAAGCTTTTAGTTCTAAGGAATATTTATGGTTTCAAGGTTAAGGGGAAGAAAAACCTTAAAAATGTGGATTATGAGAATCAAACATGAAACATTAGTCAATAAGAAAATAGTAAATCTTGGGAAAATCTGAAAAATGTAAATTAGTGATGCATTTTATTAATGATTCTGTACTTTTAATAATTAAATAACTAAAGGTCATATCCTGGAAAAATGGAAATTAATGTTACATTTTTTGTATCCCTAATCATGGTTAAGGAAATATCATGTCTTGGCAAAAGTTTTAGATTGTATAATCAATGGTGCATCTGAATCTATAATGATGAGAAAATTTGCAATAAAAGATGACCCAGAGAAAGCTGCACTAGAGCTCTCTCTCTGGAGATTTCTCAAAAAAAAAAAAAAAAAAAGATTAAGACAGTATTCAAGTGGTTAAAAAGGGCCTATTTTGGGCACAGAATCCTTCTTATTTTAGTTTTTTAGTGAAAATCGGTCTGCTCTTATTCAGTTTTATGTAATAATCACTCAAAGGAGTTATTAAAAGAAGCATGATTTAAAGAATGATCACAAAATGTGTTGGAAGAGACAATGGATATGGCTTTGATATCACAAAGATTTTGGATGTAAAAAAAGCACTTAAATAATAGTGAAGGCTTTAGAGCCTCATGTTGAATGATTTAAACAGTCTAAAGTCTCAGGATGTTCTCATGTTCACCACTCAAAAGTTAGTAGACATGGAATTAGAATATAAATGCAAAGCCTGGATCTTTCTAAGTCACTGAAATTCTATCTTCCAAGAATAAAGAGATTTAGATTCAAGTGTTTAGAAGGAGTAGGATGTGTGTGTGTGAAGTATTAGTTTTTAGTTGGCAAAACAGTGATCTTTGATGAGAGAAACCAAAATTGTTTCAAATTATATGTCACAGGCCTCAATTGCCCTGCCGAACTATTTTCCAGTTTGGTGAGCTCTCTTCTTCCCTGATTCCTGTTTATACTTTCTAAGCCAGCCAGGGAAAATGAAATGGATCCTCTTTAGCCAGAATTCTCTCCTCAAGTCTTACGAGCTCAGTGGTTTGTTCTCAGTGCACTGACACAAAGAGAACCAGTCATTCTGTTGGAAAATTTCTAAGCAAACCTCATCTCAACTCTGTTCTGTTGTGGGGACTCATAGGCATTTTCAAGGAGCATGGATTTTATGACTGCAGCTTGACTGCAGCTGTGTCTTTTCCAATCTAGGGCCAAGAGACAAAATGCAACATGAGATTTTTAAACATTCCAAGGCCCATCTGCCATGTAACCCACTTATCTTTGTGGCTGCAAGTTCTTTATTGATCCAAAATGGTAAAGAAAAAAAAAAATTTAAAAAGGCAACAAAGGGGGAAAATGCAGGGGGAGAGAAAAGCCATAAATCCATTCTTTTGTTGTTCTTCCAGCAGCATCTGTGAGCAATTGTCACAATTACTAGTCAAACTGTATTTGACTTGTTGCCAACATGAATTTTCCAAAAACCCAATGTAAACAAACTCTGCAAGTACTTCCTCATTTGCCAAGCCAGTAATTATTTACTTTGTTTGGACCTAGCATTAATGTCAGTTCAGCTTTACAGCCTGTAATGTGTTTGTTAATGAAACCGTGAGGTCTAAAGCTACATATTAACCTTGCCACCCTTCAATTTTGAGCTCAATAAAGTTGCACCATGGTTTTGTAAACTAGTGTTGGGGGACAGGCAAATGATTAATTATATTTTTCCCTTTTCTTTTATCCAAGCAAATTGTTAATCTTTAAACCTGCCTTGCATTTTAAAGTTAACAAACTAAAATCCAGCCTCCGGGAGATATGATATCATTTAGCCCAGTTGCTGGGGCTGTTTGGATGTTGTATTTGGAAGTCGTCAGCCCTGGTGCTTGCACTGGTGTTTAGTAACCTTGCAGGCACCGTGAGCTTCTTGAAAGTATGAAAAATGCTTCAGAGATTCAGGGGATATCAATTTGGTAGGAAAGTGATGGAATGCATGATTGGGACCCAGTATTCATTTTGTGGAAACGAAATGAAACTCAGGTGGTTTTGAGAATGTCTGAGTAATTGCACAAATAAAAGAGCCAAAAATTCCTGATCAGGGCAAGGAAACCAAGAGACTAGGAGGAAGGAGACTTCAACACCAAGAATATGATATTTTTCTCCTAGTCACAGTGGAATCTGCTTCTGTCTCTGGTTTGTCATATATGTGCTATGCACTTACTGTGGCCTAGACTAAAGCAAAAATCAGGTTATAGGCCAGTTCTCAGAGAACTCAGGTTCCAATGAGGAATGGGGAAGAAAGATAATCAAGGAGACATGCGAGTTAGTTTCAGATAAGGGAAAACATTACAAAGTCAGTGAAACTAAGAGATGAGACATGAAGCATTGGGGAAGCCACTTTTCTTTTGGCAGACAAAGAAGGCCTCGGAAGGGGAGACATTTGAGCTAAGACCTGAACAGTGTGACCCGGATCCTGTTAGAATTATGGGGACCAAACTTCTCAGAAGAGGGGCCAAGAGCAGTATTAGAGTTCTTTTCTGTATGTCAAGGAGAAGAGGAAAACGGATGCCTCTGTACCCAGTGAGTGGGGAGCAGCATGTAGGTGGGAAGGGATGATAGTTGTGGAGGGAGTGAGAGGAGGTGAGTTTGTCTATTGTTCCCCAAAGCAACTTTGGATGCTGAAGGAAAGAAATGATAGGACAATCCTTCTAAGAATAGGAACTCCTCTGGCAGTCTTGATTTGTTTCTGGGAGGGAAGGAAAAAGCACTTGACCCATACTAGATAAAAATTCCCTGGAATAATATCGCTTTTTATAAGCCCCTTCGTGACCACCTCCTTTTGGGGAGTATTTGAAGGTTTAAAAGCCTCAGGAACTGTCTGGAAATTTGACTTACAGATAAAATTTAGTTCTTGACTGTGAAGTTATGAGTATTTGATTTACCTGACTTGGAAATTGACTCCAGATAGAGGTGTCTATTTTATCTAATGTAAAGCTATAATGTTTCAGGAAGTTAGATGATTATTTTCTCCTTTTTCTCCAGAGAAGGTGTGAGTAAATTCCCCCAAAGGGATAATTTTGTTTAGCATCAGAAACTGATGGTTGTGTTTGATTATGTAGTTCTGAGCTCAGAATAGGCATTTTATGCAAAAATCAATATGAATTATGGAAAGAATCTAGCATTTTAGTTACACAGTGTAAGGATTTTATAGTTAGCTACAGTGAGGAAGGAAACTACAGAAGGCAATTTCAAGAAATCTTTCAGGAATCCTTTTTCTGGGGAAACACTTTACACTTAACAGTATAAGTTGATGAAAAATGCACAAATTGGACATTCTCAAAATAAATGGTGAGAAAGAAAATGTAAAGAATCTTATGAAAAATGTCAATTCTTCATGAAAAATTATATTTCAACTTTGTCATATACCCAGAGTCCTTGTATTCTTATCTTGTGGATTTTATTTAACATTTTTATTTTGAGGTAATCTTAGCTTATGAGCTAAAATTTTCAACTTGTCATACCAAAAATATTTTTAAAACAACAATTCTCCAACCCTGGTGTACATGAATCACGAACAGAACCTAAATTGGTGGATAATTGGATTGAGCTCTGAGCTTAAAGATGAAGGAGACAAAAGCATGCCCCAGAGAAGCTTTTGATAGTCTTAGTCTTATCTGGGGATGTTCTACACCAGGCGTGGAGGCAGTTTTTGTTTACGGTGATTTGTGCTAGCTGCAGTGACATTTTATTTGAGCTGGTATCCTGTATCCAAGCCAGAACATCCATGTGTAAGGGCTCGTTTGCTCTACCTCTCTGGTTCAAATGCGGTACTAAGGCATCAGTGCCTCTTCCGAAGGCCATGCTGGCAAGCCTGTGAGGTCTTTTCTGATAGAGTGACATGGGCCTTTGAGCAAGAGTGATAACAGAAGACAATGACATGACACAGATTTTAGGACAGCTGTAGTCTTTATAGAGCTAGAAATGATACTGCAAGCTACCTC